ACCATGCCTGCAGAGGTGCGCCCGCCGCCTTACTCCCTGGTTGCTATCGTGGAATCAAGTCAGAAATAACCTAGCCCATTGTGGGAGCCAGAAGGCAGGCCGCGGGTAGGAGGAGTTAGAAACCTGCAGGACTAAAGTTCTGGGGAAGGTACCGGAGACGTCAGAACAGCTGGAGCATATCCAAGAACAGCCTGATGCAGACACAATCAATGCAAACTGGCATAATAGATAAGCAAAGCATACAGCAGAGGGGATCGACTGTTCTAGCAGGCATGCCACTGATTAGCCCTTCAACCCTCCCTGAATGCCACTCTTCCTCTCCCCCTGTCTGATCTCCTGCTCTGCTTTCTGCCCCATCTACCCCTGTGCTGCCTGTCCTGTCCCTGATTGTCTGCACCGAGGCCACCCATGTCCCTTCTGGCTCACGTGCCACAGGTTGGGCACCCCTGGCCTCCACGATGGCCCAGCCCAACCTCAGACAACAAGGGTGGTGTGTGGGGGTGTTGTAATTAAACGAGTTCTTTCATCAGTAGACTGTAATGTGCTTGGCACATAATCTGTTGGATCATGTGTAGGCAATGATGTGGGCTTGATATCAGCACTTGTTACGTGTAAAGAGAGTAGAAAAGGAAAGCATTTTGGATTTGTGTTTCACCACGCACTATCCCTGCTGTCAGGCAAGCTGATCACCGGGCTGATAGTAGGAAGTTTATGCTCGCTGAATAGCTGCTGCAGGCTAACAGGTCCTTGGAGACCAATGTACAACAAGCCCTTGGGACGAAAGTAGAATCCCACAGTGGGAAATCCGAATGAAAGGGGGTAGGCATCCTTTCTATCATTCCCTGCAGCAGAAACGTTACAGCCAGACAAGAAGTGACCTGTGATTTTATTTCTTTCCCGCTGCATGTCAGGTCCAGGAATCTGTTACTTATGGCTCATCCTGATCTGTGCAAACAGACATCCATGCATGCAAAACCCATACATATGAGTTTACATGTATGGACTCTATACACTTACACCCAGCTAAGGGCACTTATAAGATGAGCGATCACATGTTAAAGCTACAGTCAAGCCTGGCAATGGGTCAAAAGATTTGCCAAAGTCTGCTTCATGTGTCTCAGAGTTTGAAAACACAGCAGAGATTTATTCAGAGAGGGGGGTAGCAATGACGATGCCAAAATCAGTTTATGATGAATGATTGCATTCTGTCATCTCTGCTGGCCTTTGCCATGATCTTGGAGACAGGACTGGAGCTCTCACAGCCTCCCACTACTACCTCCAAAGGAGTTTGTAGGCCATCTGTCTCTTCCTTTTGCACATTCCTTCCTCCAACCCTAACCCAGACACTGGTCCTCCTTGATGACTATCC